AAGAGAAAGTGGGGATTGATGGAAAACAGGGGAAAAAGGAAAGAAAGAGAGACAACAAGGGCATTAGGATAGTAAGAAGAGACAATTTTTTTTCTACAGACGACAGAACAAAAAATAGAAAACAATTGTAAACAACATTTTCATATTACCAGATCAAACACTGTAAACGAAAAGAGGGGGAGCTTGTTGGTTCTTTTCTCTACAGAGAAGAAAAAGCATTGTACAAGGGTGGATTTTTCCTTTTTAATTGAAAGTCAAAGGAAACGGTGGAACTCCATTTTTCATTGAATCAAAGCAACGCATAGCGTCAAAAGGGTATTTGTTTTCAATTTCCATTTTCCATTGCTTTCATAATGTTCTTGTGTGTGTCTATGTTTCAAATCAGAACCAAAACAGAAAAATAAAGGGAAAGTAGTAATGTTACCTTAGTAGTTGGGGTCGTATCGTCAGAGAGGGGAGACGTTGAAGAGATAATGAGGCCGAGAGTTCGAGATTTTTTTCTTTTTTGAATCTATTTTTAAAATTTCTAACGCGATTTAGACTTAAGATTGAAGGTTAGCAAGGCGAGATGAGGGTTGTAAGGAGTTTTTGGTTGTCAGTTTAGGTCATCGAATCGACGAATAGTGGTCGGTATGAAGAGTTTAGAAGTCTCGGTCGAGAGGGGTTTAGGAGAGAATTGTAGGCTCGAGTTCTTCAGGGGTTGTTTAGATCTTCTCCATATGTTTGGTGCTGGTCGGATAATGAGAGGGCCACCGGTTTATGGTGGCCATTGCGCTTGGTCGTTCGTTGAGTGGCGCTGTGCGTGGCCGAGAGAGAGACGAAGAATGAAGATAAGGGAGGGGAGCTAGGCAGCATGTTCTGCGTGAAATTAAAGTTTAGTCTAGGTTTAGTTAGGTTTTATAAAATGTCATTTGGGTTAATTAATTTTTAGCCATTGAATTTCTTGGTAAAATCAGGTTTCCAGTCCCCAAATTTTAAGTTTGTTTTACACTTTAGTCACCTTTAGGACTGCTTTAGAATTTAATCTTTTGTGTTTGTCCTAATTTTGCTGTTTTTCCAATTTTAATTTTAGTTATCATTTTGTTAGGTTATTCACGTGTAGGTCCCTTGTTTGTGTGTATACTCATATTTAGGTCCTTGGTTTGTTTTTGATTTGCAAGCTGAATATTACATTTATTTAAATTTAGTCATCTTTTAATATGTACATATATGTATTTTAATTTATATTTTAGCATGTTATGATTTTGTTTTTTTTATTTTAGGTCACATGTATACATAATATGTTAATATGCATAATTTATAATTTTTTAATTAAAATATACATATGTAATTTTTTGTATGTCACGTTGTATGATGTTTTTAATTTTGTATAATTAATTTTGGCATGACATCCATTTTTTGTACAATTTGTATGATATCCTCATTTGCATAACTCGACATATTACATAATCGGACTAAAGGGTAATACCCTTTTAATTTAAAATTGTCCTAAGTGACATGTCTTAACTGATTAGAGGGTCGTTTTGACGATTTTAAATTAAAAGTGTATCCTGAAAGTGAAACAAAAAAAATGATTTGTCACCTAAAATTTGAGAACGAAAGAAAATGAAATGTTCGTTTATTTAAATTTATCGAGAAAATGTTGTTATAGCTTTTAAGATATGGTCTTGATATTCGTAAATAATCGAACATTCTTTATCTTTCTAAAACGACTTGGTAATTTTAATTTAATTTATTTGGGTGCATTTGAATATTATAATGAAATTTTAATATTATATTATTTTGATTTGAGTAGGAATTAATTTTCTCAAGTACTGATAAATTATTCCTTCTCGATATGAAATAATTGAATATTATTACATTTCATTGTAAAATTAGCATTTTTTCAGGATCATAAATCAAATCAAGTTTGAATTTGTCAAGTTCAATGCAAAGACGTTAATTAATCGACTAGGTACCGATTTAGGGCGTTGTGGGGGTGCTAATCCTTCTCCACACGTAACCGACTCCCGAACTCAATTTTTGGTAACGCAGACATTAATTTGTTGTTTTAATTAAAATTAATTTTTATTTAAAATGGCAAAGCATTTTTGGGTGCACAATCACACCCTAATCAAAGATTGGTGGCGACTTTTCAAACCGTATTTTTTGATCGTAAAGGAAATCTAAAATTTTTCGAAACGAGAGGTCTTTTAAATCGCATTTGTTTTTTTAATTAAAAAGAGATAATTAAGAATTAATATGGTTTTTAAAATTTCAGATTAAAAAAAAATCGATTTGACACCAATCATCTTTCGGATTTCATATATGTCAAAACTCGAGCCATATGAATACTAGTCATGAAAGAAAGGTAAAATTACATCAAAGGTCCATGTACTTTTAAAAGAACCAACGTGACCCTCCTATTATTTTTTCTCTCAGCGTGGTCCTACAATTCATAAAATAAATCTAATGTGGTCATTTGACCAACGTTTTTCGTCATAGACCGTTATGGTGTTGACGTGACAGTTCATTGTACTGATGTCGCAATCCACGGTGGTTGATAACATGGCAAATGACACGACAAATGGACTAAATTGGTAACTCAAACATAACAGACAAATTGTCAAGTCAACACCAACCGTATCGGTCAACAAAGAAAAATATTGGTCAAAATGTCACATCGAATTTATTTTATGAGTTAAAATGTCACATTAAGAGAGAAAAAATAATACGAATGACATATTGATTCATTTCAAAAATATGTATCATCTTATATCTTTTTGTCTAAAATAAATAGATGTGAGATGTTTTTAATGGTAACAACACTGGTGGTTTTTTTTCATCTTATTTTTTATTTTTTAAATTATAATTTTATTTTTGATTTATTTTATTATGGTCGATAGACCATTAGATATGTTAGTTTATTAGTAAATGTTAACAAAAATTAATAAAATTTAATTAGACTCATGCATTTTTTTTAAAAAAAAATTAATTGGACTCAAAACTTTATATAAATATTAATTTGATCTTAAATTTTAAATAAAATATTAATTTAACCCTTAAATCTAATCAAAGTCTTTACCGCTCATCATTGTTGTCGTCACTGACCATCGTCGATTGTTATTTGGCACAAAAAATTTTCAGTTAACTTCTGTTTAACCTCCTGAACATAGATATGATATCAATTTCACTTAAAAGTATCACAAACATAATCTAAAACTTTCGACTTCTTTTAAAATAAATTATAATAATAAATTTATCATTATATTCTTTTAGAAATAAGGACACAAAAAAAATTAAAATTTAATTATAAAACATTTGTATTATAATGATAATAATTTAATTTATAAAAGTTTTGATAAATTGTATATTACATGCCATTTTCATCATTTTCTTTCGATATTTCATGTAATGTATAAATACTTTAGATGTGATATTTTATCACTCATGTGTAAATTATAGGGAAAACTACTTATGTTTAGTTTTTGCACTATTTAAGTATCCCACTGTTAAAAACTTAACGCGTTAGTACCTAAACCATCAATTTTGATATGTTTTAGTGCCTAAACTTTCAATTTTTTTTCAAAATTTAACGTTAAATTTTGAACAGATGTACTAAAATGAAATAAAAACTAAAAGATATGGTTTTGAAAAAATTGAAAGTTTAGGTACAAAAATGGACCAAAATTGATAGTATAGGTACTAAATGCATAATTTATCCTAATTTTTATAATTAAATAAACTTTTTAAGAGAAACTTAAATTACATATGGATAAATATTATATTCAAATCAAATTTGTATCAATCAAAAACCCAATCTAATTTATGATATCTCTAATTTTAACAATTTATTGTCCCTTTAAGTAAGAATCAAGCAATATTAGTAGTTAAATGATTTATTGTTATCCCTTAAGGTCCTAGGTTTGTGTATACACTTATTTCCGTCCGGAGCATAGTATATATAATAATTTCAAATATAGTTTTTGAATATATATATATATATATATATATATAATTTTTGGAAGCTTATTTTTTTTTTAAAAATAATATAGTTTTTAAAACGGTTTTGAAAACATATAATATATAGTTTTTAAAATAATTTTGAAAACATATAATATATTTTTTTTAAATAGTTTTGAAAACGTATAATATTTTTTTTAAACAATTTTTGAAAACAAGTAACATAATATTATATAGCTTTTATTATTACATTTATTATATATTATTATTTTATTTATTTATTTATTTTGTTTTTATTTTTTATCTTGGTTCAGGTTCAAGTCCTAAATTCGGATCCAATTCCGTCCAGAGTGCAGTCCAATCGCGCCAGCATGCCTGACCCAACAAGCCAACCCGGTTAGGGGGCCTGACCCAGCCCAGTAAGTCCAACAGTAATTTAACATTGTATTTTGAAAAAGATTGAAAGTTTAAGTAATAAAAAGAACTAAAATTGATAGTTTAGGTATTAAATTCGTTAAGTTTGTAACGACATGTATTAAAATGAAACAAAAATTAAACATTAGGTATGTTTTAAAAAAATTAAAAGTTTAGGTACTAAAATAAAACAAAAATAATAGTTTAGGAACTAACTTTATAGTTTACCCTATAATTCATGTGAGCTCTATTTTTATAAACTATTTGTAGTTTAAATTTTAAAAGTAATTATAATTAGGGTAAAGTATATAAATAGTCATCCGATTATATGATGTTTTGTTGAGTAGCTCTACTATTAAAAATTATAAAATAATCCTTAAACAATAGCATATTACTTTGTTGAATCCCCAACTATTAAAAGTTATAAAATGATCACTCAGCTATTTATTATGGTCCAAATTTATTATTTTCCGTTAAAAAGCTGAATGATAATGTATTGTTTGAGATAGAATAAAATATGATCAAATAGAAAGTTAAAATATCCTCCCAAATTATAGAAAGATACTATTTATTATCCTCCCATCATCTTAACTTTCAATTCCTCAAAATTGACTTCAAAAAATCATCTTCGTTCTCACCAATCATTTGGCTCTAAACTGGACTACCATTTCACAATGCCTTAAAATGAATACAGCCAATCTCTCTCTCTATATATATATGTTTCAAATGGTACAAATTCATATATTTGCCTACGGAATGCGCAAGTTCAATCTTCCATCTCTTTACACGACAATAACGCCGGCGGGTTTAGCCTCGTTCTCGGTTGATCTTCATCCTTTTGGCCGTAGGAGACAAGAAAAGCTTTCTAATCGAGGCAACGGGATCGTTAACCTGCAGGATAAAATCTAGGATGATTACTATCCTCTAGAGATGATAAAGCTAAGGATGCTAGTCCAGCAAAACCAATAGCCTAAAAATTTTCTTTTAATTATCATGGATAAGAAACAGTTCCTCAACGACTTGCTTTATGGATGTTGAAACCTATATGTTTTCAACGGATTCGAAAATTGAGTAAAACTGAGGATACTTCCATTTCAGCTCCTTTACTTGTATAAGTAACATTTCGAATTACCTTAATCATGGAGGCAGATGAAGGAGGAGAACGCGCCGGTGAAGAACGAGAACCATCATTCCCACATAGCAAAGCAGATAATGTTTGTTGCCATCCGGGTGCCTCGCCACTCATCGATGCAATCCATGGACAAAAATGCCTGTGCTGCCTGATTGGATCAAACTCTGATGTTTTATCCATGTGTGTTGGTAATGCTCAATTTGTAACAGTTTTTTAAAGGTTTTTAATTCTATGATTAATAGAATTAAATTGTAATTTGGAAGTGACTATTTTGCCCTCACTATTTAGCCTATAAATAGAGGGCAATTTCATTCACTTTGAGATATCCCAAGCAAACATTTGCTTTGAAACACTCCTATCTTTTGAGTGTTGTTTGAGTTGAGAGAAGAGCAATACCACCAAGTTCACTCCAGTTTTCGGGTGTACGAATTCTTGGAGAGCCGTGTTAACCTCAGGGGGTTGTTCGTCCATTGTAGCGATTACACACATCGGGGCGAATTTGCTTCTAAGGCAGTGGATTACCACGACACGATTATCATTCTGATTGATTATTTTATTTAATATTTTCCAGTCAATGCTAACGCCTCGTTTTGCAGCAGTCTATTTTACTAACAATTTAGAAGCAAATTCATTATACTGCTGTTAACACGTGATTCTTACAAAGGTAGATCAATTTTCCAAATCGAATATGGATGGCACTGCATGAGATCGTGTCTTTACTTTGCAAATTTGGAATCCATTCCACTTCTCGGAATGGTAAGAATCAAAAGGTTAGTACAAACAATATATCTAAACGTCAAATATGTTTTAAATCATGCGTTTGAAACTTAAGAGCTTTCAGTGCATAATTGTGCTAAGATCAAGAATTGCATGACATTGGCGTTAAAGGAATTAAAAATAGGTGCTTAAAGGCATTCGAAACTTATGGTAATTTAACGTTAATGCATAATAATGCATATTAATACACGAGATTAAATGCATGAGATTAATGCATATACATAAAGCAATTAACTTGATCGCAATTCATTAAAATGCATGGTTATAAACTATTAATGCATTGATATAAAGTTATTATATGAAAATAACTGTTCGATTCCTTGGTAGTAGGAGGAAGCATAAAAACGTTTATTTGTTCAAAGGAGAAATATTTTATCATTAAACATTTTTATTGAACAATATTTATAATAAAATAGTGAATTGTTCGTGTTGTGAAGAAATATGGATTCTATGATCACTGGAAATTATCGGTAAGAAAATCGAATATGGTATATAGTTATTACTATTTTGTTTGCATTATAATTTGGTTCGCAAGAACACTTTAGATCATATGAACGTTTTTGTATAAACGTTTTCTTAAATCATAAGTGTTTTAAAAATGCAAACGTTTTCCCCTAAATTAATTGTACTTTGGAAAAGCTTTTCAATAGCTTTCGGTTTCATTGTTGAAGGCCTTTAGAATGGTAAAGTTTTGTTAAAGCTTTTCAATAGGAAACGGCAGAATCACTGCTTGAGGGTTTTTAATTATAATATCAATATAAGTTTTATACAAACGGTGCATTGATGATTCAGGGGAAATAATGTTTTAAAGAAAATTCCACCTTTAATAATAGGGTCAGTTATGTATGCTTATTGGATGGTTAATTTTGTGGAAAAATTAATAACCGTTTCACTATTTGGAGATGTTATCTTAGTGGATTAATTATAAAATGCAATTGATTTATTTGTTTTAGCCATAACGGTTTTTGTAATGATAGGAAGGATTTTGAGTTTTTTGATTTTTAAAAAAAAATCATTAATATGCTATTAAATTATAGCATTTGAAGTATTTTTATGGTTATTTAAATCAATTGTAACGGTTATAACTTTAAAATTTGTTGGTTAAAATACTTTAAAGTTATGCATGATTACACATTTATTGATGGGGGTTTCATGACATTTAGTCTTATACATGAATGTTGATTTTAGTCATTATATGATCTAAATGTTTTAAGTTTCAATAGTAGATTGAACGATTTATTAAATAGCTATATAAATATTAGTTGATAGCTATATAAATGTTAGTATTTTTAAACGTTCAATTTTGAAACTTGCATGATATAATCAAGAATTGACATATCTATAATGTTATGAACATTGACATTTTGATATGAGAGATAATGCATGTATGATATTTGTTTCATGTGGAAATATGAAATTATTTATTTTCATGTGGGAGTAAGATTATTCAGTTTCTGAATATTAAGTTGAAAATAAATTTTATCATACTAATAATTTCTTTTGAGAAATTTATAAAGATAACAGGATGGTTGTAATTTTGGAGAATCATGAAGATGATGATGCAAAGAATGAAGTTGCATGCATGGTGAGAATGAACAAGTCTATTTGGAATTGTGATTCTACCTGTGAGGTCAGATTGTTTAGACTTGTTGCCTGTTAATTCATGCCTTTTAAATACATGAATTAGATTGCATGAGCCTTTAAGATAGTCTTTAAAACTCAGTGGATACTATAAAATGAGATAAAACCACTATTAAAGACTAAGGTAGTACTACTAAGGCTAAGGCAGTAGTTTGAGCCCAAAATTTATATGCTTAATAAGATACTATTGTGAGTAAAAGTATCAAGCATAATTCTTTAAAGAGATCTTATTTAAAGAAAGAGAAAATTCACAAATGATTTATTGGAAAGAAGTGTGATGAGTATGAAAGTGCATGTCTAGGATTGGTTCTATGAAGACTTGGTACTTAAGCGTGCCTAGTGCACCACCTCTCTTTCATAGAAACCTACCTGGTGCATTGTTCATTACTATGCTCACTATTCCAAAACTATGACAAGATAAAAACTCTTACAAACTTAGTGCAGAAGTTAAAAGAGTAGAGATTAATTTGGTTGAGCGGAATACCAAATTTAGTCATAGTAAATAAAATATATGATGATCTCTTTAAGGCTAATATGTTGAATATCATGAATGAGTATATGATATAATCTATTGCTACTAAAAGTGTGTTGTAGCTATTAAATCTCTTTAAGTGATTTTCCTAAGTAGAGGAAAGAAAAGAGATTATCTATTTCAGTTGTGCTAAAATCTCTTGTTTTAAACTTGAGATCATTTTTTCCTGATGTTAGGAAAAAATCGAAATTCATTTTGAATGAGGAAAAGTCATAAAGAATTTCATATTGGTTTATGCATTTTAATCTTAATGATTTGTAACTTCTCAAAACTTTGAGAATATAATTATGTGTAAACAAAACTTGAGTTTGTTAAAATATAGTTTTATGGCTAAAACTCATAACAAACTTTACTCTAGTATGATTGAGTATTTGTTTACACGTTTTACAAGACACTTATGGATATCCTAAAATGTTAGAAATGTGGGGGTGTCTTAAAATGTAGATTAAATGCATAAACTCAAATAGAAAATATTCTATCAACTTCTTCTAGTATTCCTGCTAGGCCTTCTCAAGAAATTGATTTCGAGACTAGAAGAAGTAAAAGGCTATTTGGACCAAATTTTATCACTTCCTTTATTTCTGAGATAAATGATTTAGACTCTCTTTCTGATCATATAGCTTAAATATTATATAAGGATCCTAAAAAGGCTATAAGATCTATCGATACTAGTTCTAGAAAAGCGCTATTAATGATGAACTAGAATCGATAATGTCTAATCATACTTGGGAATTAGTTGACTTGCCTAGAGGATTTAAACCAATCTGTAGCAAATGAATCTTCCGGAAGAAAATGAGACCAGATGATTTGATCCAGTGGTGCAAGGCAAGGCTAGTTGTCAAAGGGTTCACTCAAAAGTTTGTTTTAAACTACTTTGATTCTTACTCTCCCATTATGAACATCTCAACGATCCGTGCATTATTTGCACTAGCCTCCATTCATAAGTTGCAAGTACATCAAATGGATGTTAAGACTGCATTTTTGAATGAAGATCTAGATGAGGAGATCTATATGAGAACAATGGTACAAGAAATTTCATAAAACTATACTTAGTTTTGGTTTTGTTGTGAATGGTTCGGATGCTTGCGTGTATTCGATGATGTTTGATACTGATTGCGTCATCATAAGTTTTGTATGTTGATGACATGTTGATTTTCAGTTCTAACATTGAGTCCATTAACAAAACAAACGGTTTCTTGTCCACTAAATTTGAGATGATGGATCTGGGAGAAGTTGATGTAATCTTAGGAGTCAAACTTACTGGAAAGGGATTTTCTTTATGTCAAGCACACTATCTTGAGAAAGTGTTAAAGAAATTTGACAGTTTTGACGTCGTCCCTGTTCGAACTCTTGTGACACTAGCATATATCTCTTTAAGAATAAAGGAAGTAGCATTTCCCAAACATAATATGCTAAATTAATCAGAATTTTAATGTTCTTAAAGAACTATACTCGGCCTGATATTGCTTATGCTGTGAGTAGACTAAGTAGATATACTCATAATCCGAGTGGTGAGCACTAGATTGCTCTTAAACGCTTACTGAAGTATCTTAAGGGTACTTTGGATTGGAAACTTGAATTTGTTGGCTTTCCTGCGGTACTAGAAGGATATTGTGATGCCAACTGGGTTTCTGATAATGATGAGGTAAGCTCTACGAGCGGGTATGTTTTTACTTTGGGTGGAGCAGCAATCTCATGTAAATCATCATAGCAAACTTGTATTGCTCGTTCTACCATGGAGACAGAGTTTATAGCTCTTGACCTAGCTGGGCAAGAAGCCGAGTGGCTCAGAAGATTGTTAGCAGATATTCCGTTGTGGGGAAGACCGACTCCTCCAGTTTCATTGTTGTGTGATTCACAAGCTGCAATATGTGTGGCTAAGAACCAAGCTTACAATGGTAAGAAAAGACACATTCGCATAATACATGAATCAGTTAGACACTTGATAAAGAATGGAGTGCTCTCTTTAGAGTATGTGAAGTCGGAAAGGAACCTAGCAGATCCGCTTACCAAAGGGTTAAGTCGGAAGCTGGTCCTAGATTCGTCGAGGGGGATGGGCCTAAAGCCCATTGGTTGAGGAATTCATGGTGGATACCCAACTTAGTTATCTAAGTTCCATGTGGTCAAACGAAACCATGGAAAGACTCATAGTGCACATTCCTACTACCTATCCCTATGATGAATAATGTGCATGCCCAGGATGAGCTTAATTGCTCTTAATAAATTCATAGCCCAGGCTTTGGGTGGTCTTAGTGAGAAAGACTTGATGAATTTACCGATTTTGGTTGAATATCTATTCTTAATAAGTTCATAACCCAGAGTTGAGTGGGTAGTTCTAATCGCGAAGGACTAGATGAACTTACCGCTTGAGAGGATGAGTTTTATTAAACTCTTAATGAATTCAAACCCAAGAGGTTCCTAGTGAGAAGGACATATTGAATGGGAGTTCCTAGTGAGAATGACATATTGAATTCACCGAATTATGAGGCTGAATATTTATTCTTAATGACTTCTTATCCCAGAGTTTGGGTGGTTCATTAATAATGAACTTGAAGAAAGTCACCATACCCTTTGTGAGGTTGAGCTATTATAAAAGCTCTTAATTATTTCATAGCTCAGTTTGAGTGGTTTATGTTGATATAAATTTGATGAAATAACCTACGTAAGTGAGAAGGATTAGCCACCTTCTATGAAAAACGTTGGGCCGTTTTTCTAGTACACTTATTAGAATCCTGAGGAAAGAGGGCTAAACATATATACGCTTTTGTATATATTCTTGTAGACACATCGAGAACTTTGGTGGATGAAGGGGTTAGTTGTGTGTTATGAGTTTACCCCAATCTTAGAAAGTTCCAGACTAGTTTCACTTATCTAAGAGAAGGATTGCTCATCATCACTATGTACTAGTTCCAGATACGTTCACTAGTGCTTAAGCAACTAATCTCGCTATTGCTCTTCTCATGTTTTTACTTCATTGCTCTCATCTTTACGAAAGAATTCTTTCGCATTAGTGGGGGAATGTTGGTAATGCTCAATTTGTAACAGTTTTTTAAAGGTTTTTAATTCTATGATTAATAGAATTAAATTGTAATTTGGAAGTGACTATTTTGCCCTCACTATTTAGCCTATAAATAGAGGGCAATTTCATTCACTTTGAGATATCCCAAGCAAACATTTGCTTTGAAACACTCCTATCTTTTGAGTGTTGTTTGAGTTGAGAGAAGAGCAATACCACCAAGTTCACTCCAGTTTTCGGGTGTACGAATTCTTGGAGAGCCGTGTTAACCTCAGGGGGTTGTTCGTCCATTGTAGCGATTACACACATCGGGGCGAATTTGCTTCTAAGGCAGTGGATTACCACGACACGATTATCATTCTGATTGATTATTTTATTTAATATTTTCCAGTCAATGCTAACGCCTCGTTTTGCAGCAGTCTATTTGACCAACAATGTGCAGTTGCTTTAGATCCTTTCCTGGAAAATGGAGGAACATTAGTTGATCACCCCGTGTAGTTTGACTGACAAAATTCATGAAATCAGAGACGGGAATACAAAAATGCAAATACCACAAAGCCATAAACCAGATATAACTTACATATCAAGAAGATATATTTTTATTACCAATCAGCTAGATGACAAAGTTCTAATGAGGAATTAAGAAAAGGGGAATAAAAGTCCAGTAGCACTGAGAAAAATCGAAAAGCTCCTAGCTGCTCCAAAAAAAAGGTTAAAAGTACAACAAACATACTTGGGGCATTATTATGGAAGCAAAAGAAAAAGGGGGAAATATTGAATTCTAACTTGTGGCAACATTATACAAAAGGACATTATTGCAGGTTAAAACTATCAAGAGATATTAATGTCAACGAATGTAAAGGTGCCGGAGGATTTTTTGAATTTCAAACCTAGTGAGAGAAGCTCCCGCTTCTCTCTTGGTTCAATGTGACTTTTATTTTCATTCTTCATCTCAGCTCATCTTTACCATCGCCGCCCGCAGTCGTTTATCATCGCCGGCCACCGTCTGCCGTCCGACATCCGCCGTCTGCAGTTCGCCGGCCGCTGCCACACTCTGTCGTCCGTTCGCCGCCACTTTTCTTCAGGAAGAACGTCTCCTCACTCTGATTTCATTTTTGAGATTAGATTTTCGAGTAAGTCATTCATTCGGCGCAAATCTAATCACCGTTCTTCTCTGATTTTAGCCGCCGGCCGTCGTCAGTTCACCGTCATACCTCCGGGCTCGTCGTACACTCGCGATCTAATCCTTTCTATCCTAGCGTTCAGACTTGCTGCCATTCCCCGTGAGTCTGCCTTTGACCGGTTCGACAAAGAACAAGTCATGGTTCTGCCGAGCTGTTCTCCCGATATTTTTCATCTCTGAGGGTTTTGTTGAAGGTCAACTCGTAGTTCCTCCTTCACTCAGGACCAAGATCTGCCTGTCGGACTCTTTCCATCACTTCTGCCCTTATATTCCTCACCGGTAGTCATTGTTTTCACGATCCAGATTAAGTCTGAGAGTTTCGTTGAAGGAAGAATACGCTATTCCACCTTCTCTAAAGTTCAAGACCTTCCTATCCGACTCGCTTCGTCCCTTCCACCCTCCTCTTCTTCGCCGGCCAGTTACAGCATTTACCATCACCGGGCGCGCGACAGGTATTTTACGTCAGGTCACTGAGTTTTCCTCTAATGTCGGGTGCTGGATTCCACCCTTGTCATCAGCAGGGACCTCCGGTCCAAGTTCCTCTGCCCTCTGCAGCCTCGCCTTCTCCGCAATCTCACCCTTCTCATCATGACGAGGTTCGTACGATATTCATTATGGGTCTGCCTGAAGATGTCAAAGAGAGAGAGCTGCAAAATCTACTGAGATGGCTTCCAGGTTTTGAAGCTTCGCAAGTGAGCTTCAAGGGAGAAAAGCCTAAGGGTTTCGCTCTCTTCTCAAATGCAGATTTTGCAGTTGCTGTCAAGGATGCACTTCAGAAAATGGTTTTTGATGATAAGTTGAAGTCCCTTTTGCACATTGAGATGGCAAGGAAGAATCTTCTTGTTAAAAGAGGAATAGTTACAGCTTCTGATGCTTTAGACAAGTATGGATGTGATCATGTTCCTCATGTTCTGCCAATGCCAAATTCAGCTTCTGTAGCATCTCCTAGTCTTCATGTGACTGGTAAAAATGGGTGTTGCGATGAAAAATCTGCAGCAGATGGTGTCCATGAGGGAACCAAGGAGTCCACCACAAAATGGTGCAATAATGACAAGTATGGTTGCTACACAATATTTGTTGAAAATTTACCCTAGAAGATTCATTGGAATAGGCTTGGAGCTTTATTTTGCTCTCACGGTCGTGTACTTGATGCTTTTATCCCAAATAAAAGGAACTCAAAAGGACTTCGCTTTGGTTTTATTCGCTTCGCATCAATCGAAGAAGCTAGGAGAGCGATCTCAAAAATGAATGGCTCTCGTATCGACGGCAGAAAAATTGGTGTTTCTTTCGCTAAATTCAAACCTCGACATTCCTATTGGAGAAAGTCCTCGACAGGTGTTCTTCGCAAGTCCGGGACGGAGGATGTTTCGAGGAAGAATCATTTTAAAGTTGAAGGTGTTATAGATGAAGAAAAACTTCAAGTGTTGAGCAATTGTCTAGTGGGGTGGTGCAAGGACTTTGTCAAAATTGGTCATCTCGCCAGACAAATGCAAACGAAGGGCCTCACTGGCTTCACCTTAATGAGAGCTGCAGGTAATGCGATTTTAATGATTTTCGAAGACAATGCTTCCTTGAGAAGTGTGAAGAACGATAAATCAAAGATTCTCGCAGAGTAGTTCTCCATAGTCGAAGCTTGGTCAGAGAGTTTGGTAATGGAGTGTCGTCGAGTATGGTTAGTTTGTGAGGGTGTTCCTTTTCACACATGGAATTGAGATACTTTCAAGAACATTGCTGATAAGTGGGGTTTATTATTAGCTAGCGACAAAGGTTGTTAGTCTCCATCATCCTTTGATCGGGCAAAAAATTCAAGTCCTTACAAAGGCTGATGCGAGAATTGATGCGATGGTGGAATTGAAGATTGGTGACAACTTCTTCAAGGTCATGGTGCATGAGATAGAGCCTTCATTCAAACCAAACTCTTGGGCTCCTGAAGAAGAAGAGTCTCATTAGATCTTGTCTCTTCAATTGTGGTTGTTTTAGTCTATATGGTTGTAGGTGTTGCTTTTAATTTGTATTATGTTATGTTGCGCTGTTTTATTCCTACTATTGGTGGTGTAATTAGAAGTAAGGTGTTTAGACTGTGGCTTTGGATGAGGTTATATGAGGTTAAGGTGTTTGATGTAATGGTGTACATCACCATGAGAGGATATTCCATGGTGTCTTTTGTATCGGGTATTTTATCAATAAAATTTGAGGTACTCTTTTCTTCCTTCCAATGTTCGTTAACATACATTTAGTATGTGAACGAATACGAAGGGAGTTTTTAATGAGACCTCCAACTTCTATAAAAAAAAAGGTTCACTGTTGCCTAATTATCCTTGGATCACTGACCTCTATCAGTCCATTTGAACTTTAAACCGTTCTGTTGCAAATTCCAAGATGAAAATAAGATAAATATAAATGATATTAAACCCCATCACCATAAACTGAAAACAACTCCAGAAGATAGTCTCAACTACCGACATCAACATGATTATTCCTTCCATATAAGAACATCGTTGCTCACTTTGGGCCTTGGTGTACTCGGAAAGTTGAGTATGGAAACAAGAAGGCTTATATCACAAAGAAGTATCTAAAGCATATCATCTTTTCAATTTAAGTACCTAAAATATTTTTTGGTCAAAATAAGTATCTAAAGTTATATTTTTGTCAAAATAGGCACCTAAAGTATTTTAGGTCAAAATACATACCTAAACTATTCAATCTTTTTCATCTATGTTCTAAAAATGTTGACACGTGGCATTAATTAATGAATACTTTAGGTATTTAGATGAAAAAAAATTGAATACTTTAGGTACCTATTTTGACTAAAAAGATTACTTTATGTACTTATTTTAACCAAAAAATACTTTAGGTACTTAAGCGAAAAAGATGATATACATTAAGTACTTATTTGTTATATAAGCCAAACAAGAATCACTCGATCACTCTAATAGAAAAATAGAATATTCACACAAAAGATATCGTAAAGGCAAAACATAAATTAATATCCTAATTTAACTTCTGAACATAAAATAAGTAGCATATTCCTCCAATCGAAAAAAGCAGCATGTTGACATTATAACTTTCATTTTATTAAAAATTTTCCAATACTACTGAGAATTAAGCTTATTGATTAGAAATAATAATGCATTAATGCTTACCTTTGGGATAGGATAAGCCCTTATTGTTTTGTGCAGTCTGGACTTCAGCGGTCATCCCTTCTTCCTGACTATTGGCACAAGTTTTGTCTTCTCTTGAGGTCATCTTGCAAGTGCCATCAACATTTAAATCAGCTTCCAAGCAAGAGGATATACAGGTAGAGTCTTGATTAGCTAAACAAATTTCTTTATCACAGACTTTCTCTGCTTCTGCAGTTTGTTCTAGATGGCACTTTTCAGATGTAATCATAACTGATGAATCATTTGTTCCATCACTTCTAGGGGAAACATTTGCATCTTGAGTCATAACAGAAGATCTATCATTGTCTACCTTTTCAAGAGAGCTATTACTTTGGCAAGAACCTTGGACTACATTCTGATAACTCTCTATTTGAACCCCCATATTAGAATCGTCTGTACCAGCATAAGGAGAAATTTCTTTTGCAGTGATATTGGTTCCTTCCAATGAAGTGACATTCCTAGAATTGTAATCTCTTGCACAAACATCATGGTTCGAACAAGGAGACTGATCATTGCTTTTAGAATTACAATTAACTTCTCCATCTTTTTTGCCATTTGAAGTTCTCAACTCTGCCAATGGGACACCTGGCTCACTAACACTATTATTAAGACAACCTATTTCTCCCTGAAACTTGGATTCTGCTGGAGTATTTCCTTGATTACTATATATCTGATCTTTAAACTCATGATGATATAAAAATCTAGCACTTAAACTCCGGCCAATAACAGGTAACTGTATTATTGCTTTAAAGTTTTGTCGTGTTGGTGGTGGACCTCCGGCTTTAGTAAATTTTGAATTGGAAGATTGTTCCATAGATGACGATCCACCATTCGAAGGAACACCAACACCACCATCACAGCCATTGCTTTCATGACCAGAATCATGGGCTCCAGGATTGACTTCTTCACATCCAAGTAATCTGAAGAACTCTACAGGCTGTTGAACAGTGGAGAAAACCCATAATCCAACACTTGCACCACAGAGCCTGCAATCTAAAACAACAGATTTGGGATCATACTGCAATCTAAAAGAATTCTCAAAATCTTTATTTGCCTCCAAATTTTCATTTTCGTCAGCTGCATGGAAGTTGAGACTCAAATTTAGTCCACGATCAGCTCTCTGGGGTGAAGTTAAAATTTCGGCATCTTTGGCAAATTGATTCTGACCATCCTTGCAATCAACTACGTACGGTAGTAAACGTGGTTCCCAGCCACATAGACATATAAGCTTTTGAGACTGCGAAATATTCAAATTATTGTTTCTTCAACATCAACAGGAATGCATAAATGATAAAACCACAATCACCAATGCAGGACATGCTATACTTGTACAATCATAAATTGGAGAAACCATTGGATTATTATCACTCTTTGTTACCAAAGCAGGTGGAATGGTATGAAAACGCGGTACAAGAAAGTTTCAGAAAGCAACATGCATGTTTAAGTGTACATGTACCAGCTCCAATGTACTAGTAATTGCAAACCACAATGAGAAACAAGTTTCATACCTGATAATACAAGTTAGCTGAATCCACATCAGATCCAGCTTCTATACTTTCTAATTGAGAAAAGTCAGCGTTCTCTTTCAGACAATCCAACATTAGGGGTTGTCTGAGAAATTCTTCGAGCTGAGGGCTTCTCATAAATTCAATGGCCGAAGATGAAATTACCGGAAGAGCTACAAGTTGAAAGAGTGAGTTGGATCTTGCCCGGAATTTATCAACTAAATCAGCAGGCACAGTGGGAGGAAACTCAGCCAGTCTTTCATCACAGGCATTGTCAATCCAAGGACAAAACAATTTGTGTCCACTATCCAGCTTTAAGCTAAATACAGAGGCTGCCTTCTCAACTGAAGTGTACCGAAAAATGATATCTAGTTTAGCCTTGCAAATACCAGAATTTCCATACTATTTGTTCAAAGTTATTAGATGCAAAACATGCCTTGCTGCCGTATCCAAGAAGGTGGAGTAGAAAACTGGAGACGTGCTCCGCATGATTCACAGGCCAGAATGTCCATATCCACATTGACCCAACCTCTAGTGGCACAATTCACAGCACTTACCACCTAAAAAGAATGGAAAAACATTATCATTTCTTTATATACATATGGGTTAGGATCTAATTAAACAATATAAAACTTTTTTAATTTTACAAAGATTCGGGATCATTGGATGAGTGAAAATAGAAGCCGAGATTAACTCATTTCTTCTATTTCCGGCGAATATCTCATTTCCTACTAATAATCGCAATTGTTTATTTCCATTCATATAATCCTAAATCTGGGTAAAACTAAAAATTGTACTCTCTATAAATAGTAGTCTGCAATCACGATAGCCCCAATCACCGCAATAGCTCCCGCTATGTCTGCAATCACAATAAAAGCGACACCACGGCAACTGCAACACGCGCTCGTATAACATAGGAAAGAGCGGAATCAGAAGATCGAGATCATAAAATAGAAACCTTGGGCTTAGCAAACCAAGTCATGGATTTGAAAGTTGATAACCTCCTGAGAAAATCTCCTCTATCCCATGGTCTGCAAATCGGAGATTCACTCGCAACTAAGCAATGCTGCTTCTCTTCCTCTGCTAAAGCATACGATGTATTCGGCCGTTTCTTCGCTCGTAACAGTCGTCCTTGTCTTCCCGCTCCCGTTCCCCCCGGAGGCGGCGGCGGTGAACTACCAGTTAATCACAAACACATTTATAAATAAACAAACAAAAGGCAGTTGTAACGATATTTGATACAAAATTCAAGTTTCATCAGCTAGGAGGAAACAAATCAGTAGTTAAAAGGAAACCTGGAGGAGGAAGGGATTTGGAAGAGCTTGTCCATGATCGAATGAAACCTCTTCTCTGCATCGTCGGCCATTTTTCCTTTTATCGAAGAAACAATATCTTTCCTGTACCCAAAAAAAAAAACGAAACAAAGGAGAAGAAGAAAGTTGTTGAACTTTTTGCCTCTCCTACAACGACTGGGCTCTTCTAATGTAAAACCATCAGCTTTCTTCTCGCCTAACATCTTCAGGGCCAGGCCGAGAGAACAAAATAATGAATATAGAAGCGGGTCAATTAGTAGGCCCAAAATGAAAAGGCTCCGAGGATTAGAGACAGAGTGGGATGTATGGGTCTGGTCGGACTTTCAGTCAACCTGACTCGATCCAAGAATATATACCTTCAACTTGAAACTTGATTCGAACCGAGTTTAGAGATGATTTCACTTGACTCGATTTTTTGATATAAAATTTAAACATGACCTGACCCGACCTGAATTAAATATATCTATAAAAAATATTTTTTTATTCAATAAAAATAAGGATTTAATTGAAAACACAATATATATATAGAATTATTATTATAATTATCTCTAAATATATAAATTAAATTTATATATTTTTGGGCTAGATATTTTTTACTTTAGAACCCAAACATATTTTCTAAAAATTCGATCTGATTAGAACCTAAATTTAAAAAAAAACGATCTATTCGGATCAAATCGAAACCCATACAATGGACAAAGTTGAGCCACTTCTTGGTGATGGGATTTATCACAATATATGTGACCTAAATATCTTCACTTTCTCATCAACTTTAACTCATTCAAAGTGTTGCTATGAACTGTGAAGAATTTAAGGTGATGTTTGTTTTTGCAGAGGTAAAAGGTCTGCAGTCTGCGGACCACATTTGCAGGCATCTGCAGCAAAAGAGGTGGACCAAAAGTTTGCAGTCTGCAAGAAGATGACTGTTTGTTTTTTAACGTCTGCAGATTGCTAAAATGAACTGAAATATAAATAAACTGATTTCTTAAACTTAAAAGAGTTTTGCAATACTGAGATTTAAATAATTTTAGTTTTACAATACTGAAATTTAAATAATCCATACAACTATAATAATAAATTATTTAAAATAAATCAATCCATATTTTAAAATAAATCAATCCATACTAATAAATTATTTAAAATAAATCAATCAATATTTTAAAATAAATCAATCCATACTAATAAATTATTTAAAATAAATCAATACATACTAATAAATTATTTAAAATAAATCAATCCATACTAATAAATTATTTAAAATAATCAATCCATATTTTAAAATAAATCAATCCATACTAATAAATTATTTAAAATAAATCAATTCATATTTTAAAATAAATCAATACATACTAATAAATTATTTAAAATAAATCATTCCATACTAATAAATTATTTAAAATAAATCAATCCATACAACTACAATAATAAATCAATCCATATTTTAAAATAAATCAATCTATACTAATAAATTATTTAAAATAAATCAATCCATACAACTACAATAATAAATCAACCCATATTTTAAAATAAATCAATCCATACTATTAAATTATTTAAAATAAATCAATTCATACAACTACAATAATAAATCAATTCATATTTTAAAATAAATCAATCTATACTAATAAATTATTTAAAATAAATCAACCCATATTTTAAAATAAATCAATACATACTAATAAATTATTTAATATAAATCAATCCATACAACTACAATAATAAATCAATTCATATTTTAAAAAAAAATCAATTCATACTAATAAATTATTTAAAATAAATCAATCCATATTTTAAAATAAATCAATCCATACTAATAAATTATTTAAAATAAATCAATCCATACAACTACAATAATAAATCAATTCATATTTTAAAATAAATCAATCCATACTAATAAATTATTTAAAATAAATCAATCCATATTTTAAAATAAATCAATCCATACTAATAAATTATTTAAAATAAATCAATCTATATTTTAAAATAAATCAAAATACTTATATTTTGTATAAAAAGTTTAAATATAATTTAAAAATAACAAATCCAAAAAAATATTATATTTAAACTTAAATCAAAATAATTAAAATAAATATAAAATTTTAATAATATATAAAATAATTTATATGATATAAAATTAAATATCTATAATATAATATTAAAAAAATTAATTTATTTAAAAATTTAATATTAAAATTAATATCTATAATATAATATTAAACATTAATATTTAATTTATTTAAAAAATTAACATTAAAATTAAAATCAAACATAATATAAAATTAAATATAAAACCACTTTGAAGAGGTTAGAAGACGTCTACAGACATAAGGCTACATCTGCGCCGCGTAGACCACGCACATACATTAGAAGAGCTTCTGTCTTCTAAAAAATAAACGGTCTGCGAAGCCCAATGTCTGCGCGTGGTCTGCGCGGCGCAGACATAAGAGCTTTGCAGACCTTACACAGTAAAAACAAACACCACCTAAGCCTAAATGATATTCCGGGTCAGCATCTACATTTTCGCTTCGTTTGCCGCCGTTTTCGTTTCTCCGGTCACCAGAAAGCACCACTTAAAGAAGCAACATTCTCTGCTCTCCGGTCAGTTCACACACATGCATGCATGCATGCATACATACATACATGCACGCGCATATATATATAGCTAATTTATTGGCATGCATTTAGGAAATGAAAAAAGCAAGCTCCTGCAAGAAGAGGAGGTGCTGGATGAGGGGACCGAAGTGTTCAACAGCAAGAACATGGAAGTGGAATTAACCCCAAACTTGATTCACAAGAGAACCGATAAAAACCCTGAGCATTTGTAGAATCTTGTAAGCGAGTTGGAGACTGCGAAATCGACACTCGAAATGAGACTGCTCGAGTTGTATAGTCTGAAAGAAAATCTATATTACATTGCTTGCCTGTAGAGGAATTTAGATGACAAAATTGCATTAATCGAAAAACTCGAATTCACAATATTTGCTCTTAGGGATGAGATAAAGGATCTTAAAGAGATTACAATGCAGGGTAGCTTGGAAGTGAAGCAACTAGAGATTGAGAAGAAATTGATAGTGGAAATGCATATAAAAATGGCAATGCTAGCCAGATGAAGAGGCAAATGTTTGTTCTTCAAGAGCAATTATCTGGATTTCCATCCAATGAAACCTCGGCTCGAGATGCTTCGGTCAAAAAGTGAATCGAAGCTATTAAAGATATCGAATTACAGGTCCATAGGATGAGAAAGATGAACAAAGATCTTGAGTTAGAAAACAGAGAAATTTCATTTAAGTTATATGATGCGCATGCCAAAGTATATGTACTTTCTGACATGAAAGAGGTAAATTTAAGTTTTGATTTCTTTTCTTGCTAACTTCAAATTTCACTATTAGCTATAGCATAAATTATTATTGCCCGTGTTCGTGTTCGTGTTAACTTTCATGTTCATGTTCGGTCCACGAAGTTCATACTCGAAAGTGTAATGCACCTCAAGGAACAAAATAGCAGAACACATCACTGCTTGAATCTGAAAATGTTTCCTCTTAACTGGTGTTGTTACAGATCAAGACTATTGCCAAGATTAGTGAACTGAGACATGCCAATGGGGACCTCTCGAACGAAGTCGAACGACTGCAGAAGAGATTCTCCATGGTTGAGGAACTAGTGCATCAACGCTGGCTCAATGCTTGCTTGAGGCCTGAATTCAAAAAACATCAAAAAAGACCTTGCAAGAGCAAATTCAAAAAGCTTCAGACCCTAAATCGAGCAAGATCATTACACGTTTCCCTGAAACGAACAGCACTTCGTCTTACAGCTTTTCAACTGATACTGAAGACACAGACAGTAGCACCATTGATAGCTCTTCAAATAGTAATTTCGGCACAGGTGATAGCGCCTCTTGGAGAAGCATAGACGGTCCTAGTGTTGTTTCATCACCAAACACATCAATGTCAAGTACTAAACTAGGTGGTACATATAGCAAGAAAAATGTTTCATCGGCATCGGTAACAGGGGTATTAGATGAGAAGAGAATCGTTTATTCAATCACCGAGGATCGATCAAGTGCGAAGACCGGTGCTGGCGAGAAACATGAATTTCCATCGTCTGAGGTCACTCCGGTAGAGCAACATCAATCAAGTGATCACTCAAATAGGAGATCCATTGACAAGGATGTAGGTGACCCCCAGGAAGTTAGCAGGGTAGCCAATGCTCGACCGGAAGGACGGCTGCATTCGAGCATTTCCGATGTTATTCCTACTGAAAATAAGACAAAATCTCCCATAAAACCTCATATATTTGCTTTTATATTCTTTGTATTTGTTTTACTTCTGTGTTTTTCACATCTTTCTGCAATGATATACTAATCTTGACATATTAATGAAGCATAAAATGGTTGTTGTTACATATATGAATGAATGGCAGCTGAAACTAAAATACATATTCCAACTACTATTCGCATTTCCCTTGCAATGAAGAAGGAAAAGTTGTTTATCTTAGTTTGGTGGTATTTAATTTTAGACATAATGTGGATAATTGTTTATGTATGACTAGATAGACCAATCACCGAGGTTGGTTCAAATGATAAGTAAAATGATATTGCTTAATCAGGTTTCGAATGCGAGTCCTCGTGTATGCAAAAAAATCTTGTTGAGAGATTTAACCACCAAAACTAAGTGTGTGATACAGATCAGTCTGGATTAGTCAGGGAAAAACCTTGAGAAACTAGGACGACAACCGAAAAAATAATCACTTTGATTTTTTTTAAGTTTTTGGCTACCAATGTTGAATTTGGGCAAAAAGATTATTCTATGGATGGAAATCAATAGTTTTAGATTTAGGGTGAAAATAATCGACCCGAAAAAATACAATTTTACCTTATATATTTAGGGATACTTACAATAATACCCCTTTATATATTATTTTATTTCAAATATTTTCCTATTTTTATTAAATAAAAATAACATTTTTAATGAATATATTATTTCGAGTCGGGTTAGATCAAGTTCAAATTTTATCTCAAAAAATTAGGGCGGATTCAGGTTGGGTGGACCGAAAATCTGACCCAACCTAACTCATGCCCATATCTAATAGTAGCCATGTGCCCTTCTCCCTTCCCCCTTTCCTCTTCCATA